CAGAAGCCTCTGAGAACCACAGGGGTGGAAAAAGTTACCCAGTTCTAAATCTGCCAGCCTTTGGGTGATCTCATCCCCTTCCCAATATAGTAGTGGTCCCCTCCCCCACCAGCTGGCCTCCTGCCAATGGGGTAAGTCACGAGGGAGCTGGTGGAGGGGTGTGTGTGAGGGCTGGGGGAAGGGTTTCAACTTGGGGTTACACTGTACATTGTTTTGTAATCTGATTTCCATTCCCCACCCCTCATTTACAAGTATTTACATTTAGCAGTTACCCATCGAATAATAAAGATCTTCCACTATCACTTTTTTTCACTATCACTTGTAAAAGTCCACCAGGATGGATACACCAGAATCTCTTTGTCTGGTATGTAGAAGGAGGACATGTCAGTGGTGTCCAGTTTCTCTTTCTTACAAACACAAGTGCCATGACCATTTTTGTTCAAATCTCCCTGTGCAATTGCCTGGTCCTCCCTCCCTCCCCACTTCTCAGAGAAATTCTGACAGGTGCTGGGCTGGAGAGCACGTTTCACTCTGTGACTGATGAGTTCTGGGCCCTCCCCCAAGCCAGAGGTGCCAGGCCCAGAGCAGGGAGGGGGATCAGAGGCCAGTCCAGGGCCACAGCAGAGCAGGCTGTGGTCTGCTGGTCCCTCCTGCTTGCTTGAGGCCAGCACTGTCCCCCTAGCTTCCACCTGCTCTTGTCCTCCCAGCTCACAGGCCGGGCTGACTGGAGACACAGGGAAAGGCCATTCTCAGGGTCTGTCCCGTGTTGCTTCCACACATCCCCATCCCAGGCACAAGCAGAGGGCACACCCTCAGGGTAGTCCATCCAATTTGCATCTTGTTAAGTATTCCCTCAGCTTCAGCTAGAATGCTTTCATGGACAAATAGCTCACTCCTTCCTCCCAGGTTTTTGGAGAGCAGATAGAGCGTGTGTTTTTTGTTGTTGTTGTTTTATCAAATAGATATTCAACAGATTTGTATGATGACTTGGCAATCACATGAAAGCTAAGAAACAGCTTTGGAATCAGTCACCAGGGTTTGAGCCTCGGCTCCACATTTACCAGTTTTGTGACCTCGGACACATCATTTAACTCCCCCAGGCTCAGTTTTACCATCTGTAAAATGGGTTCATAATACTTGCTTCATACAGTTGTGATATTTATTATGAGGGATTGGCTCATGTGATTATGGCAGCTGAGAAACCCCATGATCTGCCATATACAAGCTGGAGGCTCAGGAAAACCAGTGGTGTGGTTCCAGTCCAAACACAAAGGCCTAAGAACCATAGGAGCCAATGGTGTAAGTCCAGTAGGAGTCCAAAGGCCTGAGAACCAGGAGCACCAGATGTCCAAGGGCAGAAGATGGGTATCCCAGTCCAACAGAGAGCAAATTTTCTCTTCCTTCTGCCTTTTTGTTCTATTCCAGCCCTCAATGGATTGGATGATGTCCACCTACTTCTTTACTCAGTCTACTGGTTCAAATGCTAATCTCTTCCAGAAACACTGTCACATCCAGAAATAATGTTTTACCAGCTATCTGGGCATCCCTTATCCCAGACAAGTTGACGCATAAAATTAACCATCACAACCCTGAATCAGATTCACCAGTTACCAAGACTTTGTGGCACATTAGCTTTGTCAATCCCCAGTGTCACTTTGCTGTATTCAATTGGCTACAAGCAAGTTGATAAGGCCAGCCCAGATTCAAGAGGAGGGGGTTCAAGATTTAGACCCCACCGCTTGATGGGAAGAGAATTTTTGGTCATCCTCAAAATCACAGCAAGGAGCAAAAGGTGGAGGATTCCAGGCTCCATGTCAGGGGTGACCAGAGGGCCAGCCCAACTCTTGAAAGAGGTGACTCCAGCTTGTGGAGGGAAGACAAGACCTCTTTCTCTTTTTTCATTCCTTCTTCCCTGTGAGACTGTAGTGCCCACACACCCGGGGAGGAGTGGAGGCCAGCCAGGGGAGGATTGTGAGCTTTCTCCCGGGGTGATGGGGACCCATGGAAGGACTTGGAGCAGGAGAGTGACATGGTCAGATTTGAGTCTGACCAAGATCCCTCTGACTGCTGTGTGCTGGAGGGGCAACTGTTTGGGGGTGGGGAAGGATAAAAGTAGTTTGGACCATTCTTGGGACTGGGATGGAGTGGGCAGGAGGGAATAGATGGAATAGACCCCAGAGTTGCTGGGTGGGTGGCTGTGGGGACTGGCTGCAGGGTGTGTGTATGTGTGTGTGTGGGGGGTGGTGGGAGTGGAAAGGGTTCAGAGGTGTGGGGCTGTCCACAGAGGGGGACACCCACATTGGAAGAGACTAGAAAAAGTGGCAGCCACTCCCCCATGACCTACAACCCATCTTGGGACCCCAGCAGTCCCTTCCCCACAAGGCAGAGCTGAGTGACCACAGGACAGGGTCCTTCCCCCACCCCATTCTCATTCTAGCCCCAAGGATATCCAGGGTCTGGCGAGGCTTCCTGAAGGATGTTCTAAGTTGCAGTCCCAGGGAGACCCTGCTTTGTCTGGGGGTGAGTCTCGGGGCCTCATCTTCACAGGAACACATTCCTCCTGTTCCAGCTGCAGCTGATGTCAACATGACCAGATGGCGACATCTAGAGGCAGCCTCTTACCTCATGTTGCTTTACCGCAGAATCCCATAGCGAAGGGCCTATGTCAGTCCAAGGCTCCCCATTGGTGCTCTCATCATGTCATGCTCAGGATTTAGTGACTAAGCCGCCAATCAGAGCTTGGAGGAAGCCCAGCTACTTCATCTCTCCATGCCAAAGTGCAGTGCATGGTCAGCCCCTAACACCCCAAGTGAACACATGGAGTACTTGGCTTGATGGTGACATCCCCCATCTCCCTCCCAATGCATTGCTTTGTTTTAGGGGGTCATCCCAGCAGCTCAGCCAACCTCTTCTCACAGAGCTGACTCCTCACCTCCACTTCATCATCCAGGCCCATCCTGTGTCCTGAGTCCCAAGTGAGAATACACAATGTCTCTCACCTTTCTTTAGTGATCCTTTTTTAGCTAATTGTTCATTTCCACCTATCCATACCCATGGTCTTTTCTGGTACTGGATACTCCTCACCCCCTTTCCTCACTTCCACTCACTGTTTGCCTCCTTCTTCTCTGACCTCTCTCTCTTTTGCTCCTCCCTTAATCTTCCATCCACCCATTCATCCACCCACCCATCCATCTGTCCCCCCATCCTTCCTCACTCATTCTATAATCAGCAGGACAGGGGCTGAGACTGATGTTACAGGGATGGGGTTAGGGAGGAGAAAAACAAGGACAAATACCCAACAGCACCTGGTTATAACACTGCAGGGAAAGTGGAGGGTTGAGGTAGGACTTTCTATGCTGCCCCCACCCCAAGCTGATGGATGAGCAAGTCATGCCCACAGTCCTTTGTGAGGTTGCTGCATGGCCTTCCTCACTTCTCATCCCTGGAGACCACCTGAGGTGCCCCTCCATGCCCACCCAGCCACATTTGGCTAGCTCTCCCTCAGCCTTCATTGCAACTCTTGTCCCTATGTCCACAATGCCCCTGGAGCCAGTCCCTAGACCCACTGGACTGGACTCACCTCTGTGTTTCTTTCCCTGGACTGGCCCTTCCCCATCCCCATTGTGCCCAGTGTCATGGGTGTCTCAGCCCCAGCTGGATTGGGCCATCCCTGGCCAGCTCTGCATGCCTGGCCCTGGGGCTGGGCAAGTGAGGGCTTTCCAGGATTCTAGGAAGGCAGAGAGAGTTAATATCTGATAGAGCCAGACCACTTTTCAGGATAAATAACCTGTCTGGTCCACTTATTCCCTTGCCAGCAGAGGTCAGAGCTGGAACTCTGGCCATCTCACTCCGCACTTGCTCCTCCCAGCCAGGCGATTTCCCATGTGGAGCAGATCAGGTAAGGGGCCAATGGAGCAAAGACACTCAGACCCACAGAAATCCAGTAAAGGTTAACCCATCCTGGAGGGAGGCTCTTGGAGCACAAGCCACCCACAGTTCAAAGGGAACTACTTAAGGGCATTTAGTAGCATTAAATAAAATGAAAATAGACTTTAGAGGTGAAAAGAACAGTATAAGTTTTTCCCTCTCTAGTTAAAGAGTCCAAAGAGCTTATTTTTTAAAATTTAATTCACACCCTTTCCCCTCTATTTTTATCATGTTCCAAAATGATGGAATACTGGAACGTATATGTTAAGTATATTTAGTTTCTTTTCATCACCACTCACTTCTCCACCCCATCCCCAACCACCCTGGGCCAAAATGGAGCAAAAAGAGATGTTTTGTGAATTACTCTTTCTGAAAGCTCAATATTGGGACAAGTGCATGGGCTGTGGACTTGGCTCAAATCTAGGTCTTACCATAGTGTAAGAGCCAGTTTCTCAACCTCTGGCCTGTTTTATCATGTTAAAAAGAGGGCAATAGCTCCTTTAGTTATCCTTATCAAATTTTAGACACTCCTTTTTCCACCTTTCCCTCCCCAAAATCTGCTCAGGGCCCAGTATACCCTAGCCCACACTAAAGTGTTAATGCCTAATGTTAATAGCATAAATAATTTATAATTTGCATTTTAAAAAGTACCCACTGGAACAGTCCTTATGAGCTGTATCACTCCAGAGGCAATGAGATCTAGCTCAGTGGGGGTGAGTTGGAGCTGCCTAGACCTTTCCCCAAAGCTGGCTCTGCATTTAAGAGTAACATAAATTTAAGGTTTACAATCTCAGTTAAATAACATGAAATCCCAGCAGACGGGCCTTGGCATTGAGTGTGTGGAGACCCTCACAACAAAAGCCTTCACTTCCTTTTTCCTTCTTTTTGGGCCCACACACACATGGTTAATACTGAATGAGAACTTCCTGTGTGGCCAGGGGCCACCAAAATTTTGCAGAGGAAACTTCTTTTTTGGGTAGACTCTTGAACAGAGACTAAAATCTTCCATGGCCAGATAGAGGTGGTACCCTAAGGACCTAAAAAAATGATTATTCAAACCAAAAGAAACCAAATTTCATTTTGCTCCTTTTATTTACAAGTTTTATTTAAATATCTCTATCTAATGGTTTAGAAAATCAATGTCAAGTGTGAATGTTGGTATACAGCTTAAAACACAATGTCAGTAAATATTAAAGAACATGATTAATCATTTTTAATAAAGTAAATTTTTAATAAAGTAAATGCTTGATAAGAAATCTTTTCCAGGAGGCAGGTTAAACATTAGACGCCTGAAGCATACGGGACAGAGCCTCAATCTGTTCAGGTGATGGTCACACAGTAGTCCAAACGTGTCTTCCACTGGGCATGCGTGACAAGTGGTACCACCAGCCTTTATACCCCAGCTCCAAAGCTACACGGGGGGGGGGGCTTTTTTTGTCATGGAAAAGAGTCACATTCAAAGACAAGCGAACCACTTAAAGATAAAACTAGGATGGCTCAGTTCCAGGACATTCTGGTTTAACCTGGAAGGTTAAGCCTTCCCCAAAACTGTCAAATGAACATAGGTCACAGGTGCTGAGGAACAAAAGTCAAGCCAGACTCATTCTGAACACATTTTCTTGTTCCATACAATTATTCTCTTCTTTAACTCAAGTTTGAGCTGTTTATATGTTATTTATGTATAAAAGGTGCCAGTTCAATTGTGTCTAACCTGAACTTTACCCAGTGTGCCCCATATTACAGATCTTTTAGGCTGGTCATACTTCTGGGAGAAGTGTTTATATAGTAACATACCTCAAAGTTTACATTTTCATTCTAATAAATTAGCTTTAATGTTACAATTAACATCTCAGAAAACCGAGTATCTAAGTAACTTGACCTAACATACTATTGCGTCATTGGGAAAGACATGACGTATTTTTCTGTTTTTCAATGCAAAAATGTATCATGACTTTCCCGACGACCAAATAATTTGAATTTTGGATTAATACCATCTTCCCTATGCATTTTGACCAATCCCCAGAATCAGGAGAGCCATATTTTACTTATATATAAAATATGTTAATTAGGCCAATATTACCATAATTGCTTACCTAAAATAATAAATATGCAATTTAAAATACCAAAGCATACTTTTGAGTAAAGTTACCATCACAATGTTAAACGTTTAGTCTAATTTTTCAGTTCATTTTAGAAGTCTCAAAACTGAAATCTTTACATAAAAAGAACGATAAATGCTTTGGAAGAACTGAGAAGTACCACCAACCCCCTCTCAAATCCCGGTGTCCTCAAGCAGTGCCTCAGGAAGGCCAACAGCAGAACTGTGATCAGGGAGACACACACTGGGGTTTAACCAGAAGGCACCCCTTGGAGCATTCATGGAAAGAGCTGACAAAGTTCACAGTGGAAAAAGGCAGACAATAAACCAGGCTTTCTTCTCTCTCAATATACCAATTAGAAAGCAGGAAATCTATTAAGCAGAGAAAAAACACAGATACGCTTGGAGGAACAGCTGGGAAGTCTGTATTCTCTCAGCTGTCCCACAAGTTACTGAATCAGATACATTTATGACCATGTTGGCTCCAAAATGGATTCACATTCTGTAATCCAGGTAAATGCTCCGAGGGTGTGCCAGCGTTTAGCTGGCATCAAGAACAAAGGTTGTCAGACAAGCAGTCTTCGGCTCTAGCAACAGACCTTCATATGAGCAGAATGGTAGTGATTCACGTTTAATTTCTGAGTTAAGATCTAGGAGATTAGAAGGAATGTTAATGGTTTCAGAATAAAAGGACCAAGGCTAAGTACTCAAGAGAATTTCTTAGATGAAGCCATATCACTAAACAGTTGCACTGGACAATCTACAGGGAAACATCCTCAAGGAGTATCCCAATACTTGAATGAATGTTACTGGGACATGGACAAAAATGAGGAAGTCAAACCTAGTTATTTGCTTTTCTTTCAGTGGATGGCACGAAGGGGTGAGATGAAGAGAGGGATCATCTAATGTAGAGCAGGAAGATAAAAATGTCAGTTTTGTGGGATTATATTTGTGTTTCTATTCAGCGACACATTTCCTGTTGTATAAATGCCACAGTAATTCATGAGAACATGAAACTCATACCCTGAAAAAGGATCCACATGGTTTAATTTTCCAACAAACACAAAGGCTGTGCAGCCCACGGAAGCCATTATGGGTCACATTTATTTTTGCCCCATTCCTATACTAAATATGGTCTAGTTCCTGAGGTGATTTATCTCACATTCTAGGGGCAAGTGTCTCATCCAACAAATCTCCCTCCTCTCTCCTCCCCACCTCTCAGGATGCACATAGGGAGCCTTGGTTAGTGACTGTTTTCAACTCCTTCATGTTTCATCTCTTCAGATTCAGGATGAATCTTAAATCTATAATCCACTGCATAAACCAGTCCTGCCTAAACACAAAGAGATTGCATTTTCTCCTTCCCTGAAACCATTTGAAGGGGAAGCATTCTTTCCAGTTACTCAGCAGCAGTAGGATGAGGGAGTTTAGCACAACAAACGTAGAAATTAACAGAAGAATGTTTGAGAGGTGTAATCAGAAAGGTTAAGTGCTATGACTAAACTTCCAAAGGCTAAGCACTGGAGGAAATGTTATTAAGGCAGGAAAGGCCAGGAGTTAAGGTTTAGACAGAAGTTACCTCCTAGTATAGCTCGAAAGTTCAGGGGATAGGACCCAGTGAAAGGGACAAAAAGCTGCACAAGTAATTTCCGCTGGTCTAGAGGCCTAGCTCCTCCCACCCTCAGCTGAAAACCAGGACAAGTTATTCCAAGCATGTTGACAGGAGGCCTGTTTGCAAGTTTGAGGACTCAGTTTTAAAATAAACTAAAATAGAACTAGAATGCAGCATTTCAAAATGTTTTCACATGTATAATCACACACACAAAAAAGGTTAGAATATTGCATAGAAAACTGTTCTGTAATATCCTTTGTAAACCTAGGTCTTAGTAATTTAAAAATAAAAAGACAAACAAAATCTTGCTTCATAGTTTAAAAGTTCATGATTGTGAGTTGAGGATTATCAAATTTATAGATTTTACAGCAAGACTTCAGAAGATCCTGAAGTTCTTCACATGCTTAGAATCATGATTAAATTTACCCTTTGGAGGCTCAGGCTGACACAGTTTAACAACAGTGTCTTTATGAAAGGACTTGGGCTACATGAGCCCAAGCCAATTCTGTGGTCTCTATGCTCTGCCCTCTCTGCGTAGTAGAAGTGACCAAAACACACAGGGACATGAAATCACTATTATTGTTTTTAAACTCAGGCTGTTTTCTTTTTCTCACATTAGTCTATTATTAAGTAAGCTATATCTGCCTGCCCTTTTAACAGTAAGATTTGAATAGCTAGTTTAAGAGTAAGTGAAAAATGTCTTAGAAGAGCATTTAAGTTAACCTGGGCAATAAGATGGGAGATGCTTAAACACCCTTGTAATATGCATTAATTGAGTCTGAGTTAAAATACACCACAGTGACAGTGATATCATCCCTGTACATTCTCGCCAAGTCATCCGGCAATGTAAGCATTGCCGCCAGCCGCTCTGGCTCCATCTCCCCATACTCATTGTTCCCTATGGCGTGTCGGATCAGACGTGTGGCTGCATTTTGGTCTGCAGCGTGGAGTCCCTGGGCTTTCCTCTGTAGCAGCAGGCTCTGCATGAGTCCCAGGTTGGCAGGTCTCTGGGCCAGGTCCGGCTTGTGCCTACTTGCTTCAGTCAGGTGTTCCACCACCAGCCTCACCACATCCTCATTATCTAGCACATCCCACAGGCCGTCTGAGGCCAGCACAAGGAACTTATCCTGGGGCCTCAGCCTGTGGTATGTGACCTCAGGCTCTGCAGTCAGGTAGGGTGGAGTGTAGTAGTGTGGGGGGGTGAACTGGTAAATGTTGAGGGCCTCGGTGTCAAAACCCCTCTCCAGGACACTGCGCTGCAGCTCTTTACTCCACTTCAGCTGGACGTCCCCGAATGCCCTGCAGGGCATGAGGACTCCCAACAGCCTGTCTTCCATGATGATTGTCCTGTCCTCTGACTCAGGATGCTCCCTTTTTAACCGTGACAGCTCAGCCTCGTTCCAGGCATTGTGGTCATGGGTGAGGGGCAGACAAGACCACATGCCACTGTCCTCCTGGACACCAAGGATGGCCCGGCAGTCACCAGCATTTGCCACATGCAAGTGAACCCCATCAACATGGGCCACGCAAGCTGTTGCCCCAGAGAAAGCGACCTGGAGTGAAAGGTTCCTTGTCATCTCATCTTCCAGAGGAGCCTGGATTTCCAGCGAGATGTCAGAATCCAGTCTTTGGAAGGAGTACATTAATGCTTCCTTAATGTTCAGTCCCATTTCCACGTGCAGGTCAAGCAGCTCCTGCCAGTAGACCCGGAGGTGATCAAGGTGCACTGATGTGACATCCTTGTAGATACTGTCCCCTGGATGCTTAAGCCACTGCAGGATGGGCAGCATAGGCTTCATGCTTTCCATGGCTCCCTCCAACCTCTCCAAGGTCTGCTGAGACATTAGCGACACTGCCACATAGTAGAAAAGCCTCTCACTCACTGCTTGAGCGCACGCATGGCCACCATGTCCATCAAAGATGCCAAACATCAGCCCGTTGGTCTGCAGGCAGGAGGCTACACCTCGCCGGTCCTCCACTGGGGAATTGGCAGCCAGTTGATTGCTCTCAAACCGCAACACCGAATTTGGGCCTCCACTGATGCTGACAAGGTCGAGAATCTTGTGGGCTGACTCACCAGATCGCAGCACTTCATTTACCTGATCAGGGCTGAGCTGTAAGTGAAAATCGTCTTCCTCTGTCGATGTATGTCTGTAGGCTTTTGGCAGAGCAAAGCCATCATATGGGGCATTGTTTTTTAGGGTGGTTGGTGCCCAGGAAAACAGCTTCCATTTTGATTCATTCCTACTTGATGTGCACCTTGAATATAAACTTCTGCTCCCTTGTAATGTGGCAATGCCGTTCCTTGCAGAATTTAAGATCCAGTAAGACACAGTACTTGACATTTTGAAACTATACAAGCAAATGTGTTCCTTCAGCAAAAGGGTTTTTTTAAGGCTGAAAATTAAAGAGTTTAAGAAAGTTTCAAATTTAATATCTTAATAATGATGACTTCTGAAAACATTTAATTTGCTACTATCCTGAACAAAAGTGGTTTAAGGTAAACTATTTAAAAGAGTTGACTAAACTCAAAATACCAAACCAAGTCTCCCTACCTCCCATTATAACACATAAATACATTCCAGAAAATGAGGAAAACAGGGTTTTTAGATGCTTTCTGCTCTTACGGAGCCACTGAGGGCTTCCCCACAGAGCTCATTCATCCTTCAGTTGGCCCAGGGGCCCCTTTTTCTTCTCCTTTCCAAATCCTTTCCCTTGCTAGGGCCCAGTTGTCTAGCTCCTATGTTCACTCTCCCCAGCAGAACGTAAGTGTTTGTTTAAGTGCTTTCCCATTAGTCTATAAGCTCCATGAATTCAGGAATTCATGGCTGCTTTACTAGTGACTCTCCAGGGCACATCCCTATACCAGGCACACAACAGGCCCTCAAACATTGACCGAATGTGGATTTTTAAAGGCTCAGTAGCACACTAGCTGTCTAGCATCAGACGCATTGCCTGAACTCCAGCTGTCTATCCGTGGGCTGGGAATACTAGTCTCATAAGGTTTTGTGAGGATTTAATGAAATATGACCCTTCAATCCAAAAAAGGTAGTTATTACTTTTATTATTAGGTGTATACTTCTCCAGTCATTCTGTACACCTTTTTACATAGTTGTAACCACAACTTTGAATCTAGTTTTCCTGTTAAGAGCATTTTACTCACGATATTACATTTCATGGATGTGTAATATCCCATTTTGGTATAAACGATCACAATTTACTTAACTATTCTCTATTGTAGGGGATTTGAAGGTTATTTCCACCACTCTTTATAAAACACCAAACTACACTGCCTTATGCATCAACCTTTTCCCTACTTAGGTTTTATCCTACTTATTTCCCAAAGGAGGAATTAGTAGGTCAAAGGGTGGAGAGTGGAGAGTCATTGCCAAACTGATTTCCAAAAGGTTCACATCTGCCTCCAAAAGGGCATGCAGGAAAGAGTTTCCTAGCACCTTCAACAGCCTCTGTTGGTATTTTTTCCTTAGACAAAACAACACAGAACTGCTCTATTTTTTACTTTCTATTTTCTTGGGTGACCCGGGAGAAAAGAGCGTTTCCCACGTGTTTTTTGGATTTCATTTATGAATCCTGCCCTCCCCAAGTTTGTCTATTGGAGTATCCGATAGCTCTCAGAACTGAGGACCATCCCCTTCCCCCAACCTACCCGGCTGAACTTGGGGCAGGAGCGGCTGGTCAAGACGCGCACAGAGCTCCGCTCCTCCCCTGTCCCGGGCTCTTTGGAGAAGCCTGGGAGCGTGGCCTGACCTGAGGCGATCCGCCGCAGCCCAGACCCAAACAATTTCGCGTCCCTACAGGTAACAAACAGCTCCCAAATTCAATTCTCTGACCATAGTAGATAAGAGCGCGGCCTCCTCGGTCCACCAAGCCGGGATCTCCCTCAAACCCGGGCGCCGCCAAGTCCTTGAGCCCCAGCTTCCCAGACTGTAAAATAGGGGGATTCAGTCGAGACACCGAGCTCACAGGGGTGCTCCTGGAGCTAAAGCAGCTAGCTAGTGCCTCAGTACGCAGCCAAGGGTCCTTGGCTAGTTGCGAGCCCACGTGGCGCGTGGCGTGAGTGGGGTGACCGTGGCTGTGAGTCCAGCTCTTCCCTGCCGGCCGCGGACCCGCCCCCTCACCTCACCTCACCTTCGCTCTCCACCGGATCACCTGAGCCGATGCCGCGGGAGGGGGAGGGCCCCGGAGAGGCCCGGCGAGATTAGAATGTCCACAACCCGCGCTAGTACCCTTCTTTACCTCGGACCCTCGTACTGCTGTCACCAGCTAGAGCCACTGAGCTGGGGGTCCGTCCCGTCTGTGCCGCACGACCGCCTCCAACCCACCTCACTTCTGAAGGCCACTGGGGCAGATCCGACTCATGAAGGAAGCATCCTCTCGCTAGCCCTTATTGGTTCATCTGCGGAGGCGGGACTTTGACGGACAGTGGAATTGCCCAATGGCTGAGGAGGGCGAGAGGGCAGGCCGAAGGGACGAACCAGGAGGGGCCAAATCCGGTTGCTCCCCACCTACTTGGTATCCGCCCTGCCCCGCTCCTACCCCGAGTAGGTTGAGAGCGGGGCTATGAGACCATTCAGTCATATGACTGAGCATCCCATTACGTGACCACCCCCCACTCTGCACACCCTAAACCGGGCAACCTTTTCAGTTCCTTACTGTTGGTGACACCCCACGGCTTCCTCTCCATTTCTGTGCGGGCCAGTCCAGACCCCTTTCCCAAGCACCACACCCTTATATTCAACCAGGTGGGCACTCCCACTGGAGGCCTCAAATACAACTTGCCCCGAATTCATCTTCCTGTCAAACCAGCTTTTCCCCTCCTCCCCTAACCCAGTTATGGTCTTACAATCCGCCGACAGACCCAAGCAAGAAGCCTGAAAATCACCTCAACTCTTCTTCCCTCTCCCTGGACCCCACCCCACTCTCCTGTCAGTTATCCAATACAGTTAATTTTAACTCCTAAATATTTCTCCAATCCAAACATTTGCCTCCAGCTACTCTACTATCCTATTCCAAGCCTCTCAACATAGTCTCCCCACCTCCAACTTTGACTTGGCCCTAGCCACCTGTCCTCTGCAGTTCCCTAATGAGGGAATGTAAGGAAGATTACAATAGGATAGGAAGAAAGCAATGAGGGGATTGGATTAGAAGATTATGTGCTTTCTTAAGGGTGGTTATGCTTTCAAGTGACCTGCCCAATTAGGAATTTATGCTTTATTACAGCACCCCTTTTTTGTCCACAGGTGCAAAATATTTTTTGTATAGATAGTTATTTGGGGTTACAGAGGGTTGTTCTTCAGGATGGAGGCAGCATAGTTTAATAACTCAATCTGCAGGCATTTATGGTTACCTACAATGTCAGGCTCTGGGCCAACTACTGGAGACACACAGATGGCTGTCCCTACCACACTTTCCTGAGAAAAATTACATAGCTCCACTAAATCTGAAATCACAGTTTTTCTAAGCTACCACACACACATGCCAGTTCCAAAGTAAAAATGTACCGTTGAGGATTTTGTTTGTACTGGAAATTTTGTTTAAAGACTATAACCAGCTCAGTCACCCAATGTATGATGGCCAAGTCAAGGACCCCATCTGATCTTTCAATGCTTCTTTGAAACAAGAAAATGAAGGAAAATAACATATTTCTTGCTTGAGAAAGGGAAAGTAGCAGCTCAGTTGTCATTTTTCTGAGAAAATATTTAAAAATATTCAGCCTCACTCAAAACTAAACAAATGTGAATTAAAATGAGATGCTGATTATTGTCAATCAACCTGATGAATATTAAGACATGATTAATACTTAATGTTGGTGAGTGGGCATTGCCAACTTGGCAGGTGGGTGTGTAATTTGAGGCTACCCAATGGACAGATCTTTGACACTCTAATTCTATTTCTTTTAATTTATCCAAAAGAGAGAGTTAAAGAAAAGCATTACAAATTTTCTACAAGAAACATACAAATACATTACTCCATCTGGCATATCTTATATAATCAGAACCACTTGGAAAGGGCAGTTGTGTGGGCCTTGTACTTGTCATTTGCACTCCAAGTTGCCAATGACTGGTATTCTTTCTTGAAAGTAAATTTGAAGAGGAGTAGAATAGCTCTAGGGGTCTGGTGTAGGGAAGAGGAGGCAAGAGGAAGTTGGGAAACAGCCCTTGAGCCCCCAGAAGTGCATGCTGGTGCCGAGTAGGCTCAATCAGCAAGCAATGGCTATCATGGTGCAGCTTGTGCTGCCCTGTAAACATAGTATGCCAGGAAATTTCAAGTGCCCAGCGGCCACTCTGTGCCACTCCTGGTGAGGTCCCAACCCAAGTGCTTGGGGTGCCCCTTTCAGGCATGTGGGCAACCCCTCAAGGGACCTGCGGACACCCTGGGCTGGATGCAGGGGGAGGGGTAGAGTGTCAGTGCTGTGGCCTGAGAAGTGCTTCCCCCCACCCCCAGCACCTAACAGGACACCAAGCGTGGGGTTGGAAAGGCTTAGAAGGAGATAATGGCCAAAACAGAACATCAGATGGACAAACCAGATTACAACAAAGAAGAGAGGGCCTTTTGATAATAACGACAATTATTTATATGTGCATTTCTTCTCCTCCCTTCCCTTTGTGTGTGCCTCTTTGTGTGCAAAGTTTAATGGGACACACGCCAGTAGTTAACAATGCTTATGTCTAGGACATGAAAATCTGTAGGAGCTTTCACATTCTTTACCTTTCCATTTTCTTATTTACTTAAACAATTTTTTTTAAACGCACAGCAGGTATTTAATCACCAGGAAAACCCCCAATAATGTCTATCCTACACACTTGCACTTAGGCGTGGGAAGGGAGAAGACACAGCACAGAGGACTGTGGGCTGTCTTACAAGGGAGAAAGCTGCGGGGAGGGCAGGGCCTCCAGAGTGCTTTTTCAGCTAGGACACCTGGGAAGTCTCTTCAGATAAGATAGGCTTTGGAGAGAGATCTGAAGGAAGTTAGGGCACGACCCTGTTAGTATCTGGGAGAGAACATATCCATAAGAGAAGACAGCAGGGACAAAGGTCCTGACCTTGTGGACCAACGGAAGGGCTTGAATTTTATGGCTACGGTTGCCTGTTCCATCTTCAACCCTTGGACCAAGGCTGGAAAGGACTTGAGACAGCCTCTTACCCATGCTTTCCTAAAGTGTACTTTGTGAAACCCGATCTGAGAGAAAAGGGCACATCCCTACTACCCACCACTGGGAGAGGTTCACAATGAACAATGGCATAGTTAAGGCACTGAAAAGTCATGTAACAAAAGGAATTCATCCAACTATAATGCAGCAGTGCCAAACATTTCACTACGAACCTTTTTGCTGTAAAATCTAGTTACATCTGACAAAACCCGTGTACTTTGTGAGACACTCATATATCCATTCTTTGAAGAGCAAAATAAAGTCTGGAGATCTGAACTGACTTCCCCAGGTTTCCAGGGCACCCAATTTAAGCTTGTGGCTGAGAAGGGTCTGGGCCCTGCTCACTGGTCTCACAGCCAAGTCACTCTCCTACAAGCTTCTTATCCACATTTAACATCTGTAGGGGCCAATTTGGGCTTCTCCAAATCCACAGGGAGAGCTATACACCTCTTCAGGGAAGACAGTTACCTTCTCACCAAACTGTGTTTTTGTTTAGCCATCTTTAGGTAAAGACCAAAATTTAAATGGGGCCTTCACCTCCATGGGTGCTAACAATGTATGAGTATGCGTCTTTTCTGAGCCTGGTCCCCCAGTGGGCAATAAAGGGCTAGTGCATTTCATATATACTCATGGAAAACCAAATGTATTTTAATTGGCCAATAGTAAACAATTAGAGCCTCCACCTGAACATGCCACTTCTCCTAAAAGGCTGAGAATCCATGGACTGGGTATTTTTTTATGCCTAGCTGAAGACCAGGGTGGCACTGTGGCCTTGGAGCTCATTTACAAAGTGCCAAGTCCCTGAGCATTTTTTACACTTGCTTTCCCAAAAGCCAAACAACTCTTTTGGCACAGGGTACCTGTGTAATGTGGTGGTTTCAGAGCCTGGGCCTTGAGTCAGGCAGACATGAGAACCCCAGCATTGCCATCTATTGGATACCCAGCTTGCGCAAGAGACCTCAGCTGAATTTAGAGCCTCTATTTCTCCATCGGGTGAATGGCAGCAACCATTCCCATGTATGTGGTGGGGGCAGACTCCTCTCCCCACCCCCCACCCCGCCAGCTGTGTAGTGGCTACATAATGGGAACAGAGGAGAGAGTATGTGAAGGTGTTGAGGCAGAGCCTTCCTCCTTTCTTTGCCAGAGTTATTTCTGTCTGAAGAACTGGGACCTGTCACTGTAATCAGGGCACCCCCATCCCCAGGCTACGCTGGAGACTGGGTCAAATTCAATTCATTTTTTTTTTTCCACACTAACTTTCAGTTCCATGTAACTACCTCCAGGTCTTTGCTCCTGCTGTTCCCCTCTCTGGAATGCCCTCCTCTATCCTTCATGCCTTTGAGGAACAGTGGGGCCACTGCCTTGGCCCTCCACGCATGCCCTTTCCCCAGTAGCCCAGAGGTACTCCGTGGCACTAACCAGCTGCCTGCTCTGCCCGGTGCTGGCGCCCTGGACAACAAAGGAAACAGGAGCTTACTGTGCCAGCAGAGCAGGAGCACAAACAACAACAAAAAGAGTCAAATATTTTGACAAGTGGTAACCTGTTGGGCAATGTTCTTTCCCACCACAGTGAGGCTGGGCCCCTGCTGCTGATGGCTGGCTAAGATGGACCCAAGACCAAGCTACAGCTTCACACATGACCACGAGGGGGCGTAAACACACTGCGGTAAACACCTGAGCGTCTTACTCCCCGGAGCTGGTAGAGGGAGGGAGGGAAGAAGGGTGTGTGTGTGTGTGTGTGTGTGTGTGTGTGTGTGTGTGTGTGTGTGTGTGTCCCTCCACAGTGCTTAACACCAGGAACTGACACTGTCAGTGGTNGTGTGTGTGTGTGTGTGTGTGTGTGTGTGTGTGTGTGTGTGTGTGTGTGTCCCTCCACAGTGCTTAACACCAGGAACTGACACTGTCAGTGGTGGGGAGGCCGGCTAATACCTTTTAAGGGACCTAGAGAGTGGTGGCTTGGGCT